AATAGCGCCATAATTATGGTAATTATGGTCCCATTTCTAGGGAAGTTTTGTTTTCAAAAAAAGTTTTTGAAATGCTGTTTCAATATTTATCAAAATCGAAAATCAAATATTTTATATGTTTTTAACAAAAAGATTTTCAAAAGTTTCGATTGAAAATCTTCAAAGTCATAGGAATAAAATCTTAAAAAATGTTTGTAGTCCCTACTGGAGACTTTTTTGAGACTCCACCTACTTTGCAGCAATTGTGTGGTTCCAAAAACTCCTTAATAATAAATGTATACATATCGAAATCTATTTTAATTTTCAAAAATCGTTGATTGAAAATCTTCAATGTCATAGGAATAAAATCTTTAAAAAAATAGTTGTACACTACAAATCTGACTTGAGTTTTTTTTTTTGATGTTTTAAATTTAGAATAATTTTTCCTCCACTCAATATATATATTGCAGCAATATTGTGGTCCCAAAAATTCCTTAATAATAAATGTATACATATCGAAATCTGTTTTAATTTTCATTAATTCAATTTTTTTTTTCAAGTTAATAAATACTAACCTGACGTTAAAAAAAATTGATGATCTAAAAATAAAAGTAAAACGGATTTTAGTTGAATGAATGAATTCAACATAATTCAGATTAAATTCATATTTAAAAAATCAAATTTTCTTTTCGCAAACGAAACCAAGCCACAATTTTTTCATGTTGTGAAATAATAAAATAAACATAAATTCAAATCATTTATTTTTTGCCTTAAATTCATGTTTAACAAATATAATATCAGATTCTTTTTTTTTTTTTTTTTTTTTGGGGGGGGGGGGGGGTTACAATTCGCCAATTTAAAATGAGTTTTTTATTAAAAATGTAATTGAGAAAACATTAAGTAATTTTTTCCCGCAAACCGAACATAACCTCAATTGTTGAAATTATAAAATATCAATTGAAAATTGTTATATCTTTAATTTTTGTTTAAAATTTTTACACATATGATCGAAATTATTGAGGTTTCAAATAGATGATTCGAAAAATTCAACATAAAAAATATTAATAATAAAATAATTATTCCTATAACGGAACATAACCTCAATTGTTGTAATTAAAAATATGAATACAGAATTTTTATTTAGTTACAGAAATATTATTTAATTTTTTTGTTTTTATTTTTTTCGGGGTTATAATTCGACAATTTCAAATGTGTTTTTTATTAAAAATTTGAGAAAACATTAAGTAATATTTTCCCCCGCAAACCGAACATAACCTCAATTCTTGAAATTATAAAATATCAATTGAAAATTGTTATATCTTTAATTTTTATTTAAAATTTTTACACATATGATCGATTTAATTGTGTTTATTTTGTTAATTTATTTTTTTTTTTTAGGTTATAATTTGATAGTTCCAATATTTGTAATTTGAAAATAACCTCAATTTTTGAAAATGCCATTGAGATTTAAAAACATGAAAGGTGTGTATTTTTTGCATTAATATTTCACAAATATTATTTCTGTCTTCGAGTGTTTCAATTTTTGAGGTTATAATTTGTAATTTCAAAATATGCAATTTAAAATCAGTTTGCAAAAAATTCCTTCCTAACAAGGGATTAATTTTTCATGATCAAAACATCAATTTAAATTTATTAAATTTGAGGTTATAATCGGTATTTTCAAATTCTACAAATATAATTTAAAATTTAATTCTAATACCTGCCTAGGCAAATATGAATTTTGAAATATATTTAAAGATAAGAAATTTAAGATATTTTTTTCTGCTTATGTTAATTTTTGAGGTTATAATTAGATAATTTGAAAATTTCGTAATTATATTTCAAATTCAATTTTAAAATGTTAGCTATTGTCAAATCAATTATTGAATGTATCGTAATATAAAAAATTACTGCAACTTATTCAGACATCTACTATCTATAAAATATGCATAACCTCACTTTTTAGAAATTGTAGAAAACATTTAAAATATTTACTTCCAAGGGACTACATGTTCTCGACATAATTCTGTATTCAAATTCAATTCTATCAAAAAAAAAAAAAAGCTTATTAATCCGAATACAATGTGCTTCAAATAAATTCACATAACCTCACTTTTTTGGAAATAATAGGAGGTAAATTAAAACAATGTATTACCATTGAACTGCATTTTTCCCTCTACATAGTTTCGTAAAAAATTGCTATCATTTTATCCAAAAAATATATGTTACTATTCGAAATACACAGAGGCATTTTTTATAGAAATTCACATAACCTCACTTTTGCGAGAGACATTAGAAGATGCTTGAAAATAATTTCGATTTATTTCCTGAACGCAATTGTTTTTTTTCGAAATATTTTTTTTTTGAAATATTTCATGTGGCGCCCCAAATCCATTATATAAAAAACGCTAACTTTTACCAATTCAAATTTTATTTGTTAGAAATTCACATAACATGTGAAGTTTCTATTTATTGCTTGAATGCCGAATTTTTGTCATGGCTTGAAAATAATAATTTTGATTTATTTCCTGGATTAGCACCCAGGAAATAATTTTTATATTAAAAAAAAACTTTTACCAATTCAATTTTTATTTGATAGAAATTCACATAACCTCACTTTTTACATTTGAAGTTCCTATTTATTGCCTGAATGCCGAATTTTTGTCATGGCTTGAAAATGATAATTTCGATTTATTTCCTGGAAGCAAAATTCTTCTCGAAATTGATTTTTGAAATATTTCGTGTGGCGCTCCAAATTCATTATATAAACAAGAACTAACTTTTACTAATTCAAATTTTATTTAGTAGAAATTTACATAACCTCACTTTTTACATTCGAAGTTTTAATTTATTTCTTGAATGCCAGAATTTTGTCATGATAATTTTGTTAAATATTTCATGGCGTTAGAGATTTATTATATCGAGAAATAACTGTTACTAATAGTAAATTTCATAACCTCACTTCTTTAAATTTTAGTTAACATTTAAAAAAATAATTTCAATTGATTCCCTGGTTCTTATGGAAATAATTTTGTTATACATTTCATGTGGTTTTTCAATCTTATTAAAAAAACTGTTACGAATCCAAATAAACAGAGTTTTTAATAAATTCCCGTAACCTAACTTTTTGCATTTTAAATTTAGTATCAGAATTCTGATATTAAATAGTTTTAATTTTAAATTTTTAAATAAATTTAATTTTATTAAAGATTTCATAACATTCAATATCCATTATATACAGATATAAATTTTTAGTACCAACAATTCAAATAACCTCACTTTTTCAAAAGTTAAATGAAAAAAAAAACTGTTTTCTTATCCAAATGTTTCTTTGTTGGTGATTATATAACCTCACTTTTTGAAACTGATAATCATTTCAAAATTTCTCCCAGGATGCCAACTCTCGACATTCATTTATAAATTGCACGTGGCTTCGAAAATGCATTACATCATCTATTACTAAAGTGTGTTATTTTTTATTATTTCCACATAACCTCACATTTTGAAATTTTCGATGGCAATTGAAAAATAAAAGAATTAAAAATACCTCCCTGTGACGAAATAATTATAAGGCTACCTTGCTAAATATTTATGCTACAACATCCATTTACAACTGTTAACAATCCCACCAGTTTCGCCCCACAGTGTTTTAATAATGTCCAAAAATTATTGGACTTCCTTTGTGGTCATAATGTAGTTTTTTATACCCTACACTGTTGTTTTATTGTTGTAATGTTATGGTGTTATGGTTTTATGTATGACTGATAGTGTATGAGTTGTTATTGTTGTTGTTTCAAATTTTTTAGGCATATAAAATAATCTAAGGTTTGCTAATGCCCACTTTTGTTTCATTGCTTTCGTTGTTGTTTTAATTTATATTTTTCGTTTTGCCTCCTTCGTTTTAACGAATCATAATGGTTTTTCCTGGAATAACAAAAAACACACATAGGCAAACAACCATAACAACAACAACTAAATTTTGGCCATCATCAAAGCCCTATGCAAAAAAAAAACACGAACAAACAAACAATATCTACTACCAACTACTACTGCTGCTGGCTGGCTGCGGCTATGCATGGCTGGCGGTTTTTTATAACCATTGTTCTAACATCGTAATCGCTGTCATTGCCACATTATCATCTGCGTTTAGTACCAAAATAATTGAGAAATGAATACCAAAAAACAACAATAACAAAACACACACCCACAGCCGTATATACAATAAACACAAAAACAACAACAACATCACAAAACCAATCAAGCAGCAAACGAACAGCCAGCCATTCGGCCAACCAACCAAACGAGCAGTATACCAGAGTTATAGCAACAACAATACTCTTGGTACTGTTATGCTCTCTCTGTGTATATTGCATTGCACAGAGAAACCACCCACTGGTCTCTCAAATTTACACTTCATTATTACAACGGTTCTCTTGCATAGGATGTGTGTGCGTGCATGATATGGCCAAAGAGAAAAAGCAAGAGCGAGCAAGTTAGTGTGTGTGCCTGTGGGCAATTACTGCTAGTGACAAGTCAATTTGTATACCTCCTCTCCTTAACGGAGATAATTGTTGTTGCTTATTGGCCAATGATGATGGCAGCAGCACAGGCAGAGACTGCATATGGCTGCTGTTATTGTTGTTGTTTATGTTTTGTGTGCTGTGTATGCGTGTGTGTGTATGTGTGGTAATTTCCCTGTGCTAGAGCACGCCTTTAACTTTATGTTAACCTCTCCTCTTGCTGCGCCTGGCCGAGACGGGTATAAAAACACCCTCAGTTGACTGAGAAAGGCACACTTGAGCTGTAGCTGTCTAACAAACAACATCATCAGCAAAACAAAAAAGAGAATTAAAAAAATAAATCAAATATTATTAACAAAATATTTTTTGAGAATAAACAATAAATTGAAAAATTATTCCAAAAAAGAGAGAACAAAAAATTAAATGCAAAAGAGAATAAAGAACTCAGTGATTTAATACAACAAAGTGAAATACACCTAGTGATAAATCATCAATTAAATAAATTTATCAATTAAAAAACAAATACAAACACACATACCAACATGCAAGGATACAGATCATACACCATGGAAAGCCATCACAATCATCATCATGATGCCAACGATCAAAAGCCATTGGTTGTGGACTTAATGTCCGGCCAATATGGCAAACCACAAACCCCACCACCATCTCCTACTGGTAAGTTTTCACATTCGATAAAAGATTTTTCTTAAAGAAAATTTTCAAAAAAAGAAAAAAAAAATCCCTTCAATCGTGCTTGGCAATTTACTAATAATCCATTTCTCTTCTCTTTATTTTATTTAGAATGCCTTTCAAGCCCCGATACCTCATTGAACGGTAGCCGCAACAACTCCTGCGAAATTCCCGCCGATCCCTCGGTCCGCCGTTATCGCACTGCCTTCACTCGCGATCAATTGGCCCGCTTGGAAAAGGAATTCTACAAGGAAAACTATGTCTCCCGTCCTCGTCGCTGCGAATTGGCCGCCCAATTGAACTTGCCCGAATCCACCATTAAGGTTTGGTTCCAAAACCGCCGCATGAAGGACAAGCGTCAACGCATTGCCGTCGCCTGGCCCTATGCTGCTGTCTACTCTGATCCCGCTTTTGCCGCCTCCATCTTGCAAGCCGCCGCCAACAGTGTCGGCATGCCCTATGCTCCCTATCCAGCTGCCGCCGCCAATCCCATGTTGGCCTCTGCCATGCCCACCATGCCTGTTCATGGCCACAATCCCTATGGACAATACCGTTACACACCCTACCACTTGCCCAGCCGTCCCACACATGCTGCTCCTCATCCCCATCTAGGCCATGCCATGCCACCACATATGGCCGCCGCCGCTCCCATGGCTGCTGCTGCTGCCGCCGCCGGTTATCCAGCTGCCATGCTTGGTGTGATGCCACCCACCAATGCTGCTCCCTCCGCCTATGCCAACAAGACCCAAACACCTCCATTGGATTTACAATCATCCTCCTCACCACACTCCTCAACCTTGTCATTGAGTCCCGCCGGTTCGGATCACACCAAAGTATTCGACCGCAGTCTAAGTCCATTGCGTCCTGCCATGCCACAACAACACCAACCCATTCAATTGCCTTTGTTGCAAGCCCACGACAACAACTCCTGCTCATCATCCAACAACAGCATGCACTTCTCCGCCGCCGCCGCTCCCTCATCAGCTGGACTACTGATGCCCTCTGCCAAACGTCCTGCCTCCTCAATGTCACCACCACCAGTCCAAACCTCGGGTTTGGTTTCAGATCCCAAACCCAAACTATTCAAACCCTACAAGACTGAGGCCTAAATTTCCCCCCTCCCCTCACCCTCAAACAACAAAGAGTACTGCATGCAGTCTCTCTAAAAAAACAAAACAACAATTTTCTTCTCATTGTGATCGTGGTGCTAAAAATTAGAAAAATCAACAACAACAACTAAAAATCAAAAAAATTGTACAAATATCTGCAAAAAATTTTTTATAATTATTTTGATTGCAAATTTTAAATAATTTTTTTTTTCAATACTTGTTAATTTATTATAATTGTAAATAGTCTGAGCAATTTTTAAAAATTTTAGTTTTTAAGTTTTAGATTTTTAAGTAAAACCAAATTTATACATAATACAAATAAACAAAAAATTTTGAAAAATTAAGAAAAAAAAAATCTTGAAATCTTTTAATTGAAAAAAAATACAATAATGGGAAACAAACATGGGAAAATACAAATATGTTGGATTTTAAAATAAGCATTGAATTCAAAACAAAAAGTGGATTAAAAAAAAAAATCAAAATACCCGACGCATTTCAAATCGAACTTAAAAAAAAAATATTAATAATACCGTCGCTTCTTTATTTTTATTTCAAATATCAACAGATTTAACAACATCTAATTAATTTACAATATTAAATATATAATTGAATGTGAAAATATTGGATTTTTTTAAATATTTAAAGGTAAAAAAAATTCGTTAGATTTTGACTTAAAAATGCGACCTATTAAAAAATGTCTGGATTTTTAAAAATATTTATTCATATTTTTTCATGTTACTAGAAGCCGTGGATATTAAAAAACGATTTTTTCAAATATCTATATGAAATATAGGAAAATATCAGAACTAAAGACTAAGTCAATTTTTCATTTTAAAAAAGTGGTAAAGCGGGCCATGTTTCACCACTTTAGGTATATTCTACATATGTCGTTTGCGCACTGTGGGACAGATTTGTGTGAATCGTTTTAAAGCTAACTTGGCACACGCTATTCGGTATGCTGCACTGTTTTAAATTTAATCTCAATCAGAATTTCAGTACGTTGTGTCAATCGGCCTAGCTGTGGATGTTTGTGAACAATATACTTAAAATAGGACGAAAATATATATACACATCATTTTAGACTTAATTCAATACGCTATGCCAAAATTCGTGCAAATCGAATGATTTTCAGAGACTTTGGTTCACCATTTACCTAAAATCGGACGAAACTATGTATGGGAGCTATTTGTAAATCTAAAACGATTTTCACGAAATTTAGCACACATCGTTCTAGGCATAATTCAATAGGATATACCAAATTTCGTGCAAATCGAACGATATATAGGGCCTTTGGTAGACAATTTACCTAAAATCGGCCGAAACTACATATGGGAGCTATATCTAAATCTGAACCGATTTTCACGAAACTTAGCACACATTATTCTAGACCTAATTCAGTAGGCTATACCAAAATTCATGCAAATCAAATGATTTACAGGGACTTTGGTGCACCATTTACATTAAATCGGGCGAAAATATATATGGGAGCTATATCTAAATCTGAACCGATTTTCAGGAAAATTAACACACATCATTGTAGACCTAAAGCAGTAAGCTATGCCAAATTTCGTGCAAATCGAATGATATATAGGGACTTTGGTGCACCATTTAAATGAAATCGGACAAATCTATATATAGGAGCTATGTCTAAACAGAACCGATTTTGAGGAAACTTTACACACATCATCTTGGACTCAATTCAGGACACTATACCAAATTTCGTGGAAATCGCAATTTACATTGGGACTTTGGTGCACCATTTTCATTAAATCGGACGAAAATATATATGGAAGCTATATCTAAATCTGAACGCATTTTCAGGAAATGTAACACACGTCATTGTAGACCTAATTCAGTACGATATGCCAAATTTCGTGGAAAATCGAAATTTATGTAGGGACTTTGGTGCACCATTTACATTAAATCGGACGAAAATATATATGGGTCTGAAAATCTGAACCGATTTTCATAAAATTTAACACCCATCGTTCTAGACTTAATTCAGTACACTATGCCGAATTTCGTGCAAATCGAAGGATATATAGGGACTTTGGTGCACAATTTACATTAAATCGGACGAAAATATATATGGGAGCTATATCTAAATCTGAACCGATTTTTCCCAATTTCAATAGGATTCGTTCTTGGGCCAAATGAGTGAGCTGTGCCAAATTTCATCCAAATCGGATCATAAATGCGATCTGCACTTTGTTTACAATTTAACATGGACAGACAAACGGACGGACGGACGGACGGACATGCATAAATCGACTTAAAAAGTGATTCTATGCATATTCTCAAACGGAACCATGTGTCTATCTCGTTTCCTTTTGTCTGTTACAAACATATGCTCAAAGACATAATACCCTGTACCACAGTGTGGTGAAGGGTATAAAAATTCACGACAGTGATAGACCCTTAAAAATATTTTTTTTTTTGAAAAATCCACGCCTGGTCTATCACATCCAGGCCTGTGATAGGTCCTAAAAAATATTAAAAAAAAATCCGCACCTGTGATAGACCCTGAAAAAAAAATAAAAATCCACCGCTGTTAAAGACCCTAAAAATATTTTTAAAATAATTGCCTTATGGGAACTTCAAAAATAATTTTAAAAAAATCTTTTGGAATCTGCAAAAAAATGTGTTTAGTCTTTGAAAAATATTTTTTGAAAAAAAAAATCCGCGTCTTTTTTAAAAATCCATCTATTCCAAATTTTATACAAAAAAGTATCTCTTTAACGTTGTTAATAGCAGACAGACAGCTGTCTGTCATTTTTGGCAATTAATAATATCCTTTGACATTGAAAACATGACAAAACAAAATTAAACTGCACGTGTCAGGGCTTTGTTTCAATGGGGTAGAGAGAAAGAGAGAGAGAGCGACAGAGCGAAAACAAAGAAGTGTGACAAATTTTGTCACAAAAATATTTATTGATAAATATTATTGCTAAAATAATGTCATCAGCAATTAAAAACATCACAGTGAGCCCAGTGAGCCAGCCAGCCAACCAGTTTGCCACCCATGAACGACGAAATGACCTTCGTACAAAATAATACACGAGCGTGCTCTGACACACACAGTTGGTGTTTTTGGTGTTTTCTTTCTTCCATCCATAAGAGGGAGAGTTAATGTGGGCGAGAGTAAACGAAGATGAGATGACCTTAACGGTGTTGCATTGCATTACACTGTAGTGCCGTTTACATTGCCGATCAACGGGAGAGTTGACGAAATGCTCTCACAGAGTATCGTAGAGATGGACACGATTGGTGTTACTAGTGTTGTTGTTGTTAATGTTTGGTGTGCTCCACCCCGTTGTGTTGTCAAACAAAGCAACGACTTTTGAGGCCAAATCAAGGTTGATTTTGATTTTTTTTTTGCAAAGCACAAAAGAGTCAAGTCGTTGTCAAACGATATAAAAATTGTGTGTGTGCCACGCGCATTCTGCTACACCCCCACGGTGAGAGTAAACGAAAAACAATAGGCCTGGCCAAATGTCCCTTTTATCTGTCGCATTGTCGAATTTTTAAATTTCAAATTGTCCTCGTTAATTGTAGAAAAAATGTCAATGGACTTGAAGAATTGTTGAAAGGAAAGTGTGCCCAACCCATTGAAGGCAGCTCCACGGGAATTGACCTCGTGTCATAATTAGTAATTAATATTGTTGGATTTTGAAAAGGATATGTTTTGATTTTTTTTTAAAATAGTCAAGGCTGAAGGATGATGATCAGCCAAAACATTTATCACTTTTCAAACTCTTGGATCATTTTCACTTTGCAATTTTTGTTGTTAATTCATTTTTCAAATTACCACCCACCAGGAGGGGCTATGGTGAACACATCTGTTCCATAGCCGAAAAAAAGGATAATGGTTATAATGTCATGATAATATTAATTTGTGACATAAACAAACAAACAGAAAAAATGACAATTGCCAATGAGAGAGAGAGAGACATATGTGTATAAAGAGAAAGGATAAAATGATTACCTTTTGTTTTGATAATTGTTTTCCTTTGATAATTGTTTTTCATCATCAACACCCCATGAAAAAAGGGGTTTCCTGTGGGCTGTAATCTGGCAATGTTAGACAAGGGGCAATAAATTTACATTTAATTAGCTTAGCAGACCCAACAACAAACACTCATGACCATTTTTGTTGTTTTGCTTTTGGCAAGGATATGTGTCCTTTATCCTTATTCAGTAGTGTTTATTATTTTTTTTTTGTATATTGTGGTACTGGTGGTTGCTTGTATCCTTGCCTTCACTATGCGCAGGACCTAAACTCAAAATAAAGGGGTTAATTGGTTCGGTCTTTTTTTTGGATTCCAACACGAGAGTCAAAGTCATGTTAATAAATTGTTGTCGTCGTCATTCGTTTGTTTTTATTTTTATGGGATTACACATAAGTTACAATTTTTATGGCGATAATCGTTTCATAGCCTTCATTGTTAGGATGATAGAAAATTAAACGACAAAAGGATTATGGAATTTATTACTACAGGTTCATATGGCAATTTTGTTTGTCTGAAAAGGATTAATGCAAATTAAATTTGAAAAACATATTTTTCATTGTCCAACATTGTGCATGCTCAACTAGAGGCGAGATTTTTTTAAAAAAATATTTTTCATTCTCAACTAGAGTCATGTATTTTTTTTTTAAACAGGGTTAATCATAGGCGTGGATCTTTAAAAACATTTTTTTCCGGGTCTATAAAAGGCGTGGATTAAAAAATATTTTTAAGGGTCTATCAAAGGCGTGGATTTAAATTTTGTTTATAATTGTCTGGGTTTATCACAGTCGTGGATTTTTTAAAAAAATATTATTCATGACCCGCAATAAGAGTAAATTTTTATACCCTACACAACTATGTTGTCGGGGTATTATAGCTTTTTGCACCGCCAAGAGTTTGTAACGCCACGAAATAGTGGTCCTAGATCCACCTTTATGTATACCGATCGTCATATCTCAACTAGCTGAGTCGATCTAGACGTGTGTGTCCGTC